TACTCTTATTGAAAAACTTATAAAACTGTGAACACCAACAAAGGGTATCTGAAAACTAAACTGCAAACGGCAACAGTAATTAGCCTGCGGTTCCGAGGTTTGCGCATGTCTGGTGTACTCTAGCTAGTGGGAAGCGCGTTTCTCACCCGTGGGAAGATTCGAAACGAGTCGGGGAGAGGTTTTCTGGGGGTCTGGCACTAATAATGTTAATAGTGCTGGAAACCTAGCAGACGTCTCGCGGGCTCACGTTGTAGAAGGCCTCATACTGTCCCGCAGGCAGAGAAACGCACGTACCGAAATGCTAACAATGAAGGCCTGTTCATAGACCAGGGGCCAGGTGAATAACATTCAAGTCGTCGACGGACGAACTCGCGTACGCCAACTCGCCCTCGCCCACGGCTAGGTGAACTTTATTCTGATCGATCAGTACTCAATTGACTTGTGAGGATCAAGATTAATTGGTCACAGTTTACTGAGTTTCACAGTCAAATTGCCCTTAGAAAATAATATACATACTTGTGAAAATCATACTTTGGACATAATGGAACAAGTTTGCTGTACACCATTAAAATTGAATGTGACGACATTTTCGCATGTTACAGCACAATATGAAATACTGGTATTAAACATTTACCTATCTTGCAATACATCCAAGCTTATTTGGGCTGTGATACAAAAAATGATAATTATGTCTTTTCTGAATCAAAATATGCACCTTCCCCCCCCCCCACAACATAAAAAATTCCCGGCCCCCTCCCCCTCCTTGAAAGTACACTGCTTCCTACAGATCCTCGTCTGACAACACCTCTCTGCTTCATTTTTTCCCTAACTGCACCTTTCTTTCTCTGAAAGCCTTATACTTCTCTCTCCCTCTAAAATGTTCATTAAAAGATCACATTAGTAGTTAATAAAAATTAAATTTTAACAGCCTGACACCCCTTATCAGCCTTATTGTCAAGGTTTACCCGAGAGGCTACATTTGCACGTGTCCTGCTCGCAAGTCATTTACATTTTACAGTTCCTCGTGGTTTGAGCTGTATCACCTTCACTGGAATAACCAAGAAGAATCTTCAACCAATCAAGGTTGTCGTGCAAATGGGACCGAAAACAGCAGAGAGTTGTTCATAACTGAGTTTGTTATAACAAGGGATAGAGGTCAAGAAAAGGTAAGATACAGAAAGAGTTAAAATTTTAAGTTACACTATACCGCTGCACCTCATTAAGTGGGTCATCCTCGGTGTAAAAACCTGACGAGGTTTTCTTTGTTTCATGAGGTATTGTTTTGCTGTACGCTACTGCTTATAATGTTTTGTTGTCTTTCTTTTACGTCACTCGTGAGCTTCACAGGTTTTTACACCGAGGATGAGCCCATTAAGTTGAAAATATTTTTAAGTTGCCGTTTGAGAAACAAGACAGGATTGCTCTCGAATCGAATCAGGGACAAGCTGTTGTCGAAAATAATTCCATAATCAGTCCGCTGAATTCGAGAAGAGGTTCAGAGAAGAGGAGAATTCTTTTCCTCACTATGAATTCAAAGCGAGTTTAAACTTGTCAGATTGAGATGCATAGTCGCTGGAAAGGTGTTTAAGGCATTCATAATTAATGGAGCTGCAACTGGCAGGAAATTTAAAAACTGTTCACGGTTAGCTGGAGATTTTCGTTCTCGATGTTAAATGAGTCACGAGAAGTAATTACGGAAAGATTTTCATATAAC